TCCTGCACAATAGTGCTCAGAGCTGTGCGCCAGCCCCACTACCAGCATGCTCGCTCAGTGGTGTGGCTATCACACAGCTCGGCTGACTCGGGAAGAATGTTCCAGAATGTCCACTGACTACAGTGGGCCTGCAGCTGGGCGTCCTGGAGTCATGGGACGGGCATCACTGCTCTGCCGTTAGAAGGAAGTCCAGGGTGAGCGGGAGTCCCCAGAATGGACACCCCCTCGGTCACCTGGGCCAACCGGACCCTCACGCCCACGATCAGAAACGTGGCAGCCTGCTCTATTTGAACCCCACAGGTCTTCCGTGACACGGCACAGGGGCTCGGGCGAGGTCTTGGCCTGGCGGACCCCGCTGTGGACGGCGCCTGACTGCCTGGGTGGGCTCCTGCCCGGCTCCTGCAGCTGGGGTGGGAACACTCCCCCGGCAGGGCCTGGGGTCCAGGACCACGTGTTCGTGCCCGCAGCCCCCTTCAGGAGCACTACGGGCCACACGACGCCTAAAAAACTTGGCCTCTGTGAAGCCTGCGTGGACCAAGCTCATTTGCTCATTACCCACAGAACAAGGGGATGTGGGGAGCAGGTTCTCAGGCAAGGCCCGGCCCAGAGGAGCCTGCCAGGGGGTGTCCTCCAACCCCCAGCCCCAGCCACGTGCAACAAGGCCCCAGGGCATGAGGGGCTCCGAAGCTTCTCCCTGCTATCTCACTACTAAGCATCTGCAAGATCTAGGGAGACGGTTACTTTGGGATTAAACTTTGGAATCCCTGACTTGGAAAGGCAACGAGGCCCAGAGCTCGCTGTGAAGACAAGGCCACCGGGCTGATGGGCAGACTGGAGGCCGCAGTCGGTGGCTCCCTCTACAGACCAGGCCGCCCCCGGAGAGCTGGATCTGCACGAGTCAACAGAAGCGAGGCCGCTCACGGCCGCTCTTCGCGTTGGCAGCCTCGGCTCCGGGGACTCCTGTTTCTGGACTACGTGATGCAAACAGCAAACAGAATCCACCCCTCCTTGCACCTCTCGGGGCATAAGCGTAGCCTCCATCCACTCCCTGTCTCGTGTGGGCTCCCGACTGCTGTAACCGCGAGGTCTCCCTGGAGCAGCCACCGGGGGCGGGGAGCCCCAGCGCCCCTGCCCTCCCTCCTCCGGCTGCTCACGTCGGGCCCACGGAGCCCCGGCCCCACCACTGGCTCCGGGCTCCCCCACGGTCCCGAGAGGGCTCTGTCAGAGGTGCTGCCCCCCGCTGAGCGGACTCCAGCTGTGACCTGCTGCCTTCGGTGAGGACAAGCAGGGCCCAGGGCAGGGAGTTCTGGCCGCCTGGGACCTCCACCAAACATGTGTCCCCAAAGCCACCCCCGCTGGTCCCGGTGAAGCTCCAGGACCCTCACCTGCTCAGCCGTCAGCAACAGCGAGCAGGGGTCACAGGCACCTCCTGGGAAACAGACTAAGAACATCTGAGTCACAAAGACGCACTCTCCGAGACACAATAACTTGTCACGGTTTATTTTCTCACGTTAAAGACAAACTGACTTTGGTATGTAAGTTTGAGGCCATCACCTGAAATTCTTTTTCTTACTGCCTGAGCGGCTGCCCCCACCCTGCCTGTCCCGGGCACGGGTGGCACAGAGCCACCCCTGACGTGACGCTCCTCTTCCCCTCACTCAGGAGATGCTGCCCACGGGTCCGGTCCTTCTCCACACTTAATGCGAGCTGGCAGCTGGGGCGACGTGGGAAGTGCACCAGCTCCAGGCAGAGTCTGCCCCAGGGTGACTGGCCACAAACATCGGCACAAGAGAGACGAGAAAACCTCTCTGGCTCTGTGTGCTCTGCGGTGTCTTCCAGAATCGCACAGATGTTCTCAGTGCTGCCTTCAGGTGCTGCCCCCGGGCGCCGGGCGGTGGGTGCGCACTCCGTCCCCCGTCACACCTGCGGCCACCCCCCAAACAGGGGCCCGGGGCCCCATCGAGGACCAGCTGGCCCCACGTGCGGTGCCTCATGGCCCTCTTCCAGGCTGGCTGCTGGCAATGACCCTGAAACCGGAGGCTGGGGTGTGGTGTGGGTGGAGGGCGAGGGCGTCATCCCGGGGAGCCGCGGTCGGCTGGCCTCCTGTCCAGCTGTCACAAGGTCACGGGTGAGCTGAGACCAGCAGTGGGGAAGGTGACCAGAGGGGAAGCCAGGGGTGTTCCCCACGAGCCCCCAGTAATAAATGCTCTGAGCCCTCACTTCCGACACCTGCACCCCCAAGGGCCACGCGGGGGCAGCGAGCATCCTGGCCTCTCTGCACGAGGGCGGCCTCCGGGGGCACCGCCCCTTGGGGGCACATGTCTGAGAGCCCCCAGTGGGTCTCCCACTGTAAGCAGAGCTAGTGCCACACCGTCATCTGTGCCCGCAGCTAATTTGGACAGAAAGTCTAAAAATGGCACTTGATTTTACATATCTGAACGTGAAAATAAGCTTTATGGGTAGGGTTTAGAAGGATTTACTTCCAAAGCCTTGCACGTTTCAACAGCACGTTTAATAACCTTGGAAAGAACTGCCGTCGGATGAGCAGAAGCCAGGGCCCCTCGTGTGCTGGCCCTGACGGGAGCCACCAAACATGTTGACGGCCTCTGCCTAGCGGGGCACGCCTTGTCCCCTACGAAGATTTCGTCTTTGGCACAGCAGGTGTCTCTGGGTTCAGGGTGGACAGTCGCTGTCAGTTAGGCGGGATGCCCAGGCGAGCGGAACAGGGTGGGGGCACCATCTAGGTGCCGATCGCAGGTCTACGCGCCGGCCCATGGCTGGCAGAGCCTGGGGAGTGCTTGCAGGAAGAACACCAAACCGAGAACCAAACACATGAGTTCTAGTTTATTTTTCGTCCACTTATTTATTCTTAAAGCCACATGAGGGTCGACTTGTGATTCAGCCATAAAGTTGGGTACTGGCCGACCTTCCTGCTCCAAGGAGCTTACAGTCTGGTGGCACGTGGCCTGGTCCCAACCCCGCAGGGCAGACACCTGCCGCCCCAGGAAGCCAGAGCAGGGCCTGGTGCTACCAGGGGCCGGCAGCGAGGATGCCTCAGGCTCAGAGGGGCCGGAAGCAAATTTCAAGGAGAGAAGTGTGGACGAACACCGAGGCCTGGTAGAGGCAGACAAGCCACCAGAATGGCAGGTACGTATGGCCCACGGTCACTGGCCACTGCTCTGGGGGAAGGACCATGTCTGGGATGGAGCATCAACCAAAGAGAGAAGGTCCAAGTGGAGTCTAGTTTAGAGCACGGGTGTGAGGTGCCCGGCATAGGACAGCATGGCAATGGAGTGCCTGGGCGGATGGAGACGAGACCGACGGGGACGATGGAGAGGGCGGTGACGGGGTCCCGGGGACGATGGAGAGGGCGGGGACGGGGCGGTGGGCTCTGGGACGTACAGAGAAGGTGGAGACGGGGTGCTGGGATGCCAGGGCGGGTGGAGAAGGGGCGCCGGGGCACTGGGGTGGGGCGCAGCCATGGCCCAGGAGACGAGGCTGCAGGGCAGGAGACATGGCACCCCATTATCTTAGTACCATGTGTAGGCCACAGGCAGAGGCCCCTCGGCCCCTGACACTGCTCGGTGCTCTGTGAACTCGGAGTAGGGACTGTAAGAAACACCAACGATAGAGATTTTCTAAACTGCTTTAAAAAGCAATTTTTCTCAGAAGGCCTGGTCTTCTTTAAAACATTCAATTTTTGGTCAACCATGCTTGAAGTTTAATTAGGATACAATCATTACATTTTCAGGAAATGACTAAATATTTTCTTTTGTAGGATATATTGCACCTTATTCCAAGAAGAGACAGCATTCACCAAGTTGCAGGAAGCAGACCACATGACCCAGGAGGGGTCACGGGCATGAGCATGGACCGCCTGGGCGTGAGCGGCTCGCGGCACCCTCCTTTCCCGCAGTCCTATTTTGTGTGCGCTCTCATGACATGGTAATTTTACAAGATCGTACTACTCAAATCCTGAAAAGCATGGCTAACATCTGCCCCAAAAGCAGTTAATTCTATCGGTTCAACATAACACAGATATTCTAGGACTTTCTATCATCTACTCTATTACATGTTACAGTTAGAGAAAACAAAAACCTTCAGAGAATCTTGACTTCCCAAACATAACAACATGGCTGGTTTTTCAACAGTCTTTAGTGTATAACTTCCCTCTTAAATTACATAAATCTCCTAAGCTTTCAGAACAGAAGCTACTGTACGAGAAGACTGTTGGCATTGCTAACCTTGCACAAAACACAATGAAGTCCAGGATGACCGCGGCTGGGCCACACAGAGCACCCGGCAATGCTCCTGGGACAGCATTCAGGAGGAGAAACAAACACTGGTATATTTTTTAAGGAAACGTCTCAGAAAGCTGAAAAGATAAACTGGTTTTTCTAAGGCCTAAGACTTACAGATCCTTAAAATCTGTAAATGGACAATCTCAACAAGGGTAGTTTTTGGTTGAGTAACAGGTACTTGGGCCTGAAAGCCTCACGGTCCCAGGGAGATGTAATTATTCGACCACAGATGTGATGTGGAGGCACCAGCACAAGCACAGAAATCGTTAATGTTAGTTAATGGCCGCCTCAGGCACCAGCCTATAGGCTCAATACCCCGGGTGTGTTTCTAAAGGCACCTGCAAAATAATTATAACTATTTGCTTTTCCACCTTAAACATCTATGGAACTTGCACACCTAGGCCACCTCGGCTTTTGGGAGTAGAAGGGCTGTTCTCTATTTGCAAGCGGCCAACAAAATGGTCAGTAATTATCCCAACATGCGGCCCCCTACCCACAGCAGAAATAAAGGAAAATCCACTGAAAGCTTCACTTCTTTTTTTTCTTTAGGACTCGAGGACGCATTCCTGCCACCAGGACGACAGCACAGCCTCCGCGTGCACCACCTCACCCCGACAGCATCCCGGCATTTACGCGTCTTTTAGAAAAAGCACCCCACTGGCTCATTCTCAGGGCTTAAGGTCAGAAAGAGCGCGTTACCGTTGGCAGGAAGGTAGGTGAAGTGCTGGCACTGGCTCCTCTTTCTCTTCCCGTTGCACACGTAGAAACTCACTTGGACGGGGCTCGTTATCCTCTGGTTGCGAAACGGCGGTATCTCCACGACCAACGAATTCTGGCGAGCAAATGGCAGAGGAGGGAGACGGTGAGCATCTCACAAACACGGAGCACCTGCACTGAGCCTCTCGCGGGCGCCACGGTGGGCAGCTCCTGACTGGGATGCACAGAAGCTGCCGCGGAGAGATCACCCGGGGCACGGGCACGTGTGTGCGGATTGAACCTACCATCACACACCCGTGGCCTGTCCAGAGTGTGTGGGGGGAGGCGGGCTGGGGGCTTCAGCTACGACCCACCGACTCGGCCCCAGAGAGAAGCGGCTGGTGCTAACCTGAGAGAACAGCCACACGGCAGGCGTGGGGGTGGGGGAGTCTTCAGGAGAGCCAGATGCATCTGCCTGCCCCAACCAAGGGGTCAGTGGCCTTTGGAAACTAGAAAAAAGTTCCGCATTTGGCCCATGGATAGAGCTGTGAGTACCTGGTCGGTAATGCCGTGAAGACCTGGGAGAGGTGCCTCCTGGAGACCTGTGTCTGGGGTCAGGTTCTCCAACGACAGCCTGAAGCCCATCATGGCTGCCAGACTCCCTCAAATGGGAGATGGTGAGCTTGACGCTAGCAGGCTGGGGCGGGGGGTGGGGGGTGCGGTACGGACAGTTAGAAAGAAAGCACAGATTGGGGCACCTGGGTGGCTCAGTTGGTTAAGCGTCCGACTTCGGCTCAGGTCATGATCTCATGGTTCATGGGTTCGAGCCCCGCGTCGGGCTCTGTGCTGACAGCTCAGAGCCTGGAGCTGCTTCAGATTCTGTGTCTCCCTCTCTCTCTGACCCTCCCCCGCTCATGCTGTCTCTCTCTCTCTCAGAAACAAACAAAACATTAAAAAAAAAAGAAAAGCACAGATCGGGACGGAGGCTATGGTGGGCACTGGTACCTTCCCATGGTTAAAAACACGAATCGACAACATTTTCACAAAAATTATGCTCCTTCAAGTACAGGTGCATAACAAGTGACATGAGGTGGCACAGCACTGTGGGAGGCGCCAGGGCGCCCGAGCCCCAGACAACAGCGTGCGCAGGTGAGCCAAAGTGCCCGGCGTCCTCACAGGCACCCATGCTGTACTTGACTTTACCGGAAGGACAGGATCTCACACACATAATGTTTCTTCATTTTCAGTCAAATGATTTAACAAGCAGAGAAAACGGATAAGAAAAATCCACCGTGTCAGGCTCTTGTTAAAGAAACCGTAGCTTGTTACCTAGCTTAATAGCACAACTGATTGAATCAGGTTAGTAATGGAATTTAAGAATGTTAACACAGGAAACTGAAGAGAACTTCGGGCCCAACCTGTTCCTGCTACAGATAAAGAAACCGAGGCACAGAAGCCTGCCGCCAAGGGCGGCTCTGGGCCCCTCCCCTGGCACCACGCCCGCCCCAGGCAGCGTGGTTTTATGGCTTAATGACTGCATCCCGTCTGGAAGCAGCAGGAAGCAGCCTGCGTACGGGGCCTCCTTTACAGACGTGACCCTGAGCACGTGTGGCCGGTGCTGCGGAGGACGGGTGACACGCGGGTGGCTGCGTGTTAGCTTCGTCTTTGCCGGGAGGTGGCTCGGGTGGCGGTGGAGCCCGTGGTCGGGAGGCAGCCCAGGTGCACGGGTCTGGGTTCCCACCAGGCCGCCGGCATACAGCTGGCGCTCACCAAGGGCAAGCCACCGCAGAGCAAACAGTGGAGTCTAATGTCTACAAAAGTGAAGACACAGCAAGGTGTCACTCACACTGAGGTGACAACTATGGCGAGGTGTCAGCGGGAGTGTCCGCGACAGGTCACTTGGGGCAGGGCGGCCCTCGGCACGCTGGGCTTTGCAGTTTGGTTTTTACAATCCTGGTGACCGGGGGCCGCGTTCTGATGTGGGCACAGGCTGATGCACTTCCCCTCTCTGAACAGACGGGACATGCAAAGCCACGTCCTCCCGGGAACATGTGAAGGAGATGCAGCCACAGGACACGTGTCACCACGGAAATAGCAGGGGTTACAGGTGGCACTTGGGACCCCCAGAACTCACTTTAAGAACCCCACTGAGTGGCTCCTGCTGGTGTACAAACTGCATGCAGCAGCATCCTGCTTCGTGCAGAAGGTTCACATGGTATGAGGCACACGATACGTGTGTGTGATCCATGTGCACAGGTACGTGCACCAGAAGCCTGGGGTGAAATTACACGATCTGCTAGTTTTCTTCCTTATACTCTGTTATATTTTCCGGATTTCCACAATGAACAAATACCCCTTTATAATTAAGAATAATATATAAAAATAAAACTCAGTTAAGAGACAAAGATGAAATTGTAAAGTACATCAGGATTCACACGTGCTATCACGTTCTTTTTTTTTTTTTTAATTTTTTTAAATGTTTTGTTTATTTCTGAGAGAGACAGCGTGAGCAGGGGAGGCTCAGAGAGAGAAGGGAGATACAGAATCCTAAACAGGCTCCAGGCTCTGAGCTGTCAGCACAGAGCCCGACGTAGGGCTCGAACCCACGAACTGTGAGATCACGACCTGAGCCGAAGTTGGACGCTTAACCGACTGAGCCACCAAGGCGCCCCTATCATGTTCCTTTTAAAACACACCACTGTTACCTGCTAAGCTTCCTTTAAAAATTGTGTACACAAAGAAGCCCAGTGACAAAACCCTCCCTCAGACTTGGCAGGAAGGATTCCGAGAGAAAAAGCTGCAGGATTCCTACGGGCGTCTTCTTTCTGCTTGGGGAGGCATCTCAAGAGGCCTGTTGCGCTGGGGTCTGGAAGCCCAGCCGCCCCAAGCCCACGGCACCTGCTCAGAACTCCTCAGGCAGCAAGGAACACCCCGGGGCCAGGAGCCCATGTGTGCGCGCTATGTGTGTGTGCGGGCATGTGGTCCTGAGTGCAGAACAAGGCCCGGACAGCCGGAAGGGGAGCTGTGTCCTGAGCACAAGCTTCCCAGGGACCAGTTAGGGATTTTTCCATCGACACCATTTGGACAGGCTTCCGGTAAATGGATCAGAGCTTTGGGAAAGGCAGCTTAAGTCTCACGAAAAGATGCTTCGTCCTAACAGAGCCAAACAGAGTCCTAACCCGTGAGGACCCAGGGCTGGGCCTGCAGTGCCCGAGCTGCCGTCAAAGAGCCACCTCTGTGACGGCCGGGCATCTCCTTTCATGACTCAGGTCCTACCAGCAGCAGAGATTAAGTACCTAAGAGCTTCAGCAAACCCCTCCACCCAAGGCTCCCCGTCCCCCAGCTCCAAGTGCCCAGGGTCCCAGGGAGCCCAGAGAGCAGCGAGTTCCTGCCCTGAACACGATTTCTGAATTCGTGGACTTCCCTCTTCCTTCCCCTGTCAGAAGAAGGGACACGCGCCTGTGCCTGTGGCCGGGGGTTGAGATCGGAAGAACTCTGAATTTCTTCAGACAATCACCTGCTGGCCACAGTGTTTGTGTCAGCCTGAAGACTGCTGCTGCGCTCTTCTAGGACCACAGAGTGCACATGCACATGTGCACAAGCACGCACACACACACGTACGGTGGTAGATGTCATTCCCGCTATGTCAGCACCACTTGGAACACTCACGTCCTAAACACACCAGTTAGCAGACTGTCTGAGTGGACAGAAACGCAGACCTGGCTACTCGCGGTCGGTAAGAAACGCACTTTAAACATAAAGGTGTGGACGGCTGAAAGGTCTGGGACAGAGCAGATGCACCGCACTGACGCGAGCCGCAGGGAAGCTGCATGACACCAGACAGAAGACCTTCTCCGTCAACAACCACGGGGGCACCTACACGTGCGAACAGAACCGGGGAGGCCGAGGAAGGCAGCGAGGTAGTGTGGGTGCGGTGCGCCGGGCGCCTGAGGCCTTGGCGGTGGCACCAGTGAGACCCGGGCGCCTGCCCTGCGGTCTTCAGCACCCACAGGTGCACCGGCTAATTGGCAAAATGGAATCAGCAGCTGCACGATGAGATCTGCCTTCACGCCTAGCTCACGTTCAGAACAAGAGTCTACCGAGTGACGGGAAACGAGGTCGTGCCAAGGACGCGGCTGCAGCCTCACGCGGCCCGACATGCCCGGGCAGGTGTGACTCCTGCTCGGTGGCCTAGAACAGCCAGGCTCCTGGGGAACGGTGGCACGGGCCCCTGGGGATGACGATGGCCGTAAGGTGGCGAAGGCCCCGCGGTGTGGGGGTGTGCCCATAGTGCCAGCCGCTTGACCGGGGGCAGCTAGCATGCAGGAGGGTCCCCGGCTGCCCTGTGGGGAGTCCCCTCCTACAGGCCACACCACTGTACCGCCCCAAGCTGGTTTGGGTCCCAAGGGCACTGGTGTCAGGAAGCCTTTCACGCGGTTTGCGCGTGTTGTTCTAGGGCCCTGGTATTGCTCGTCGGTCGTCTCAACAGGAAACCCTACTTACCGGCTTGCACAGGCCTCTCTCCATCTTTGCCTCCATCTCCCAGATGTGGTGACCGTCTGGAAAAAGGGCAGAACAAAGCCTGTTACCCGTGTGCCTGGTCGAGCTCACCACCCCAACCCCCTTTCCTTGACCAGGCACACGCGACTCCGGAGACCGCAGCCCTGAGCGCTCACACCAAGCTGGCTGTTAATGCGCAAGAGGAAAAAGTCACGTGTGCGTTGCCACTGGAGAGGTCGCGGTAGGCCCCGACATGGGGGGCGGGGAGCCTGGGGGAGCCCGGAGACCCCTGGCTCTGCGGGAGGGAGCCACACACAGGGAATGCCCCAGAAACCCACCCCTGCCCGCGTCCATGGGCTCGCTGCCCCAGCCCCACGGCAGCCGTGGGAGGGCTTGTAAACACAGGAGACGTGCCAGCGCGTGGCTCTTCGGACCTGGACCCAGGCTGTGTCCGGGCTCTCAGACCCGCCGGCTCCAGCTTGAGGTGCACCAGCGGGAGGCGTAGATCTAGTTACCGCGTGCATTCTGGGAGCAGAGTTACTCTAAGTAACGAGTGGGGGCCCAGGAGCCACAGTCCTGCCTCTGCTCAGAGGAGCTGCCGACTGAGAGAGAGAATCCTTTCTGTGACCGCTTCTCGCCACATCAGGATACAGAAATGCAGAACGTGGTATTTTTAACCTTCCCCCAGTGGCCGTTTGCGTGTTTAAAAGAAAAAGTAGAAAGGCTCCAGATAGGCCTTGAAAGGGCTCAGTGTCCTGTGGGCCTGGAGGGAGGAGGTTGGAGAAGCCCACTGGCAGGAACGTCTGCAGACCGAGTTCCTGGTCTGGAAGCCGCTGGACGGCTGGCCAGCGGGAGGGGCCCGGCTGGGTGGTTACTCTGAATTCACAGCCGTCAGTCTCCGGCGGAGGCCTCCCTCCTCCCACCGACTGTAAAGTCTGTCCCCAAACAATCACAGCCAGACGCAGCTTCTCCTCCTGCCCTGTTTGCAAAGAAGACATATATGTGTGTTACAAATCCGAAATCATAAATAAATTACACAAAATCTCCTTTTTCTGCCTCACTGTGCGGGCGGGCAGGGGTGGAGGGTGGAGACAGAGGGAGGAAATGTGAGTCACATAGAGCCCGGAGCAGTGTCTGCGTGCCAGGACCACACCAGCCTCTCGGGACGCCCCAGGTCCCAGCGCAAATTACCCACCAGATGAACCCACTTGCTGATAAAATGCAGACGAGCAGCCCAAGGGATCGGCATCGACGTCTCCTCCAGGAAAACATAACAGGAAACTAAAAATACACTCGGCCGTTCTTAAAGGCATCAAGCCCCACAAAGCAGCTAATTTTCCGGAGCCCTGTGGGCCCAGGACGCGGGCGCGGAGGCACCTTTGTGAAGCCTGGTCCCTGAGCTGGGCGAGCTGGGGACGCGGCTCCAGGTGCCGAGCTCGGGGATGGGGCAGGCTGGTCAGGGCCAGACCTGCTGGGGCCCCCGGGCAGGGTGCCCACCCACTGCTTGCTCCAGGTAATCGAAATTACTCTTCCTGTAAGCGAGTCCCCTGTGTTCCTGCGCCTCTGAAAACACTTTCAGAAGGAGTCGCAGTCTGGACAGCAGGGGCCACCTGGCCACTGCCCAGTCTCTGCCTGTTGGTGGAAACCACGGCTGGAGTTTCCCTGAGGAATTCTCGAGAGGGTCCCGGCCTCCCGCCAGAGGCGGGCAGGGGGGAAACCTAGGCCCATGAGGGGCCAAGGACATGGTAACAGGGGGCCCGAGCACCCCGTCTGTCCTCGGCCCACCTGTGAGCATCCTGGAGGTCATCCGAATAAGGAAACTGATGGCAGGCTCTGTGGGGCCGGCGGCCTCTCCTGGGCCTGGGGCAGGAGTCCCTTCAGACCAGCTGCCCGGGGCCGGCAAGTCACAGTCCGCAGCGCACGCTGCGTGTCAGCTTTCCTGAACGCCGACCCCGAGAGTCACACACTAACGGACTGCAGGCCCATCGGACACGCCAGTTAGAGTGGCTTCTGGGGACCCTGCGGTGCGGGAGTCAGTTCTTTGGGTCTTTATGTCTGAATTGCAGCCCTTGAGATCAGGCTCTGTCCCTTCAACTAAGGGTCCTAAATGAGCTGCTGCCGCTTGTGTATCCGGACGGCAGCGCCAAGGCCATTCCACGTGGCCGATCATCGTGGCCGGTTCCCACATGCAGGGCACCAGCAGGGCCCTGCTCACCGGTCTCCCCAGGAGCTGGTGGCGAGGGCCCTGCAGTCCAGCCTCTGGGCGTCCTCCTTTGCTGAGCACGGCCTCATTCTCTACGGGATGGGCCGGCTCCCAGCGGGCTCGGCCTTATCAAGAGCTCCGGGGCCTCAGGAGGAAACTGTGCGCAAGCCCAGAAGTAAAAATATTCCAAATCATTAGGGAACTCCCTGCCATGTGAGTCATCGGAAAGGCTTCCCCGCCACACCCGCCTCGAGGCTCCCACAGCGGGGGCTCTTAGTCACACAGCTCCCGTGGCGGCTTAGAGCGGCCGGGGCCACAGGGGGAGGCCCCCCCGGCCTCCTCAGGAGAAGCCACAGCTTTCAGGAGGCATCCTTGAGCCCCCGGCGGGCAGGAGGTGCATGCACGGTGATGGCTTTAGATCAAGTCACAGCATTAGCCGATGGGCAGAATGGAAACAGTGCGGAGCCCCAATCAGAAGGCCCCCTCCGGAGTGGTGGGACCACGTTTCCTCGGGCCCTTGGCCACACGCACGGTCCTCTCTGCACCTGGCTGCTGGCTCTGGGGGTGGGCTGTGCATAGGACAGGAGCAGAGGGGACCAGAGCGTCCTGTCCCTGGGGAAGGAAAGGCAGCGAGGGGGTTGCAAATAGATGGCCCCCTGCACTCTCATGGGGGCCACAGAGGACACGGGCCCTGACCACGCAGCAATTGGGGCTGGCCGGGGTGGGGGGCTCCAGGGTTGTTCTGGTCAGTAGGAGCATCCCCACATAGCTTGTCTTCATCCCCCCAAACCCCCCAAACCCCGCCAGGGCTCACACTCTGGGGCACCCCCTGAACCCCTGAAACTCCACCAGGCCCACACTCTGGGGCACCCCTGAATCCCTGAAACCCTGCCAGGCCCACACTCTGGGGCACCCCCAAAACCCTGCCAGGCCTCACAATCTGAGGCACCCCTGAACCCCCAAAACCCCACAAGGCATCATACTCTGGGGCACCCCCAGAGCTGCCCTAAGCAGACTGCTTCCTGCAGAAGACGCCAGAAAAGGAAATCACCCATTAGCCTTCAGGCTCAGCCTGACAGTTTCTCACGTAGCTGAACGTGGAATTCCTGGGAGCATGCCCTGGGAAGGGGACCCCTGCGTGCCCAGGGTCACTGCAGCACAAGAGCCAAGACACAGGCACAACCCCAGGGTCTGGCCACCGCAGGTGGCTAAGCATGTGGTTCATCCGCAGGACAGGAGGGTACCAGCCTAAAACGGCAAAGTCCTGACACGCGCTCCTGCGTGGACACGCGCGGCTACACATACAGAACCACAGTGTCCAGAGCAGGCTGGCCCAGGGGGTCAGAGGGCAGCTCTGAGGCAGCCAGGCTGGGGAGAACGGGGTTAACAGCTGATGCGTAAAGTCTCTTTGGGGAATTTCTGGAATTAGCTCTGGACACACTAAGAACCACTGAACTTTAAAGGGCTGAGTCATGGCTCTGCGAATTGTATCTCAATAAAGCGGACACAAAACAGAAGTTGTGTGATGGCTGCGTGTGGCATGCCGGAAGGCGGCCTTGAGAGGAAGAAGAGGAAGGCTGGCCCTTCTGTCCAGCTGCGTGCTCGAGACACCTGCCCCTCCCTCACCCCTCCCCTTCCCACCAGGACTGAGGGCCTCGACAGGTGCCTCCAGAGGCCACTCTCCCCGCTGTGGAGGGACCTGTGCCCACTTTCTTGATGTACCCGAGGAGCTGGGTGTCGTTTGGAGCAAGCCTCGGGGAAGGACTGGTCACCGGCCCAGAGAAAACAAGTTTCGGTGACAACCTTCTCACGGTAAAGACGCAAGGTCTCTGATCTGGCTGGGGTAGCTCCGTGGGGGTCTGTGGACGGGTCCCCCAGTGCTGGTCACCGGGCCCCAGGAAGGGCTGGGAAGGCACAGAGGTCACACCCAGCCCCCACAGGCCGCCTTGTCCCTCAGATGAGGGCCCCAGAGACCACTCCGGGACCCGCAGAACAGAGGACTTCCCACCGAGCTGGGCTGAAGCCACGTCTCCCCCATGGGCACCAGGGCGCATCCCGAGACATCAATCAGCAAAGAGAAGCTCTGAGCTGGAAAGGGAGTCTGGGACCCGGCTGCGCTGTGGCACGTGCCACGCTCCCGGCCAACTTTGCTCTCTAGCTGGGCTCCTCCGGAGGCCACTCCAAACATCTCACAGCGGACAACCGCGGGGTGAGCATGCAAGTCCGAGGCCACGGCGGAAGGAGGCAGCCTTGCCGGGGGGCGCTCTGGCCTACCGCTTTCCTTCTGCTCCCTGGACACGTGCGGCTTCCAGAGCCACCAGCCCTGGGAACAGTCACGGGTGGCGCTGTGCAGCGGGTGCTGGTGCCCGCGTGACCCCCTGGGCCTGCAGGGCTGGCACCGCAGAGGCTGCCTGAGCACACTGCCCTGGAGTCAGCTCCCCGGCCTGCTGACATGGGGAGCGAGGTGGCGGTGGCTGTCTGTGTGGATGGATGATGCCCTCCTGCCCCTCCCACGTCCACACCAGGAAAGCGGGAAGGAGACCCTTTTCTTTCTCGCCAAGTCATGAACACCAGGCACGTGAGCTGCACCGCCAGCTGGTGGCATCCATATCTGGGAAATTTCCAGAAATGCTTCAGAACCAGCATGCCAAGATAGTGGGACCAGAAGCCCTGAAGCCACAGCCACGGCACAGGGTTGGGGAGGAGATGTGGCTGCCACCAGAGCAAGTGTAACACGACCCTGCAAGCACTCCCCAGCTGTGAGCACCCGGGGCTCCGTCGGGCGGTCACTGCCACACAGTGCGGCCAGGAGTGGGGATGGCCACACCCCAGGACAACAGAGGGCTACACACACACACACACACACACACACACACACACACACCCCTCGCTCACATCCACAGACATGGACCATATACACGGACTGATACACGCCCTGATACAAATCTGCTCGTTCACACAAGCCCTGACACACACCTGCTCACGCAAGCCCTGGCCTCACACACACACACCTGCTCACTCACATGCCCTGACACAGGTACCCTGCACACAGCACTCCTAAACTGGCCGCTGGAGTGCAGGCCTGTGCTTTGACCAGGTTCATACTTAAAACTACCTATGACTCCCACAACCACCTGTGCTGAGAGGTGAGATTTCCCCTGTGTGCCTGCTGCTCTGGGCTGTGGCCTGAAGCCTCGCCCTTGAACACGAAGTCATCCATGCAGATGGTCTGAGAATTTCTGGGACTGGCAGGGGGGCGGGGGGGCACACGGGAGGCACAGATAAGGAGTGAGCCACGTCACACATGCACACACACACATCTCAGGGAGCCCACGGGCCCACACTTTCTCCTCCAAAGCAACATCTTACAGTAAAGTGGCCGTTTTCCTGCTTCTGGAGCAAACGGGCACATCTCAAACCCATAGGAGAGAACTGTGTTGACCCCGAAGCCCCCTCCCTCCCACAAGCCTTTTAACCTTGAACCTGGAGCCCCCTGAAGGCTCTTCTTCACAATAGCCCCAGGATTAGGGGTGTTCAGGAGCAGGCTGGAGAGGGCCAGTAGGGGCAGCGTGTGGGTGCAGCCGGGGTGGGGCCTAGGGATGCAGGCTCATCGCCTGCCAAGCGCCTTCCTGCTGCTGCTGCCCCTCGGGCCGTCCAGTGCACCCCGTGCACTCAGCAGGCGGCCCTGTGCCCACTCCCCTCCCAGGAGCACATGTGGGTCGTGTGCGGCCTCCCAGGGCTTGGGGCCTCAGGGGGTGTCTGAGCGCCTAATGAAGGGGTTTCCAGGAAAGACCCAGTGTTGACATGGTGCTCACACCAGGGTCCAATGAACTGGCTTCCACGTTTACACTTTGGGGAGCCCGAGGAGTGAGCATGGCAGCAGCTGAGGATGCCGGGTGGGGCCCTGAGACCATGCAGACAGAAGACCGCTGGGGGCCGCCCCCAACCTGCCAGCTCCCGGGGGCCGCACGAGCGACCACAGGCTGCATCCAGTCCACACAACTGCCAAAAAGGGAGGGGTTGTTCTCAAAACCCCCTGACTTTGGGTGAGATTTGCTTTGCAGCAAAGAGGCCAAAGCAGGCTTTGTTCTCAGTTTCCAATAACGCAACGGAGCAGGCAGGTACCCGCACAGAGCCCCGGGGTCACAGACGTGACAACGTTTGGCGGATCCAAACCTGTGACACATCCACCTCTTGTGCCTCAGCCCTGCCTCCAGGAGCAGAGCGAGTTCACGTTCCGTGCGGTGTCCTCACGCCTATGGAACACGAGAGGGTCCCTTGGGCTGATTCAAACATTCACACGTGTGTTCAATACCTGCTCGATCCACACTGTTGAGGGGAGCTCCAGAGATCTTCACCACCAGGATGAGGGCTGGGGTGTCACTTTCTCACTTCCTGCATGGGGACGTCCTCGGTGTCCGCAGGTGAGCCCCTGACGTGGGCATCCCCAGTGTGGGTGTCTGGCACCCGACTCTCGGCCCCACAGGGGTGCGTGTGTTCAGGTTCCATAGTCGGTCAGCAATGCCGCCTCACGTGGAAACCACAGACACTGACCCCAACCCTCAAAAAAAAAGGCTATTCTAACACTTGGGCATTTTGCAAAACACAGTAAAGGGCCCCCTGAAACCACAGGACTGTTCTGGAAAGCACCACCACGTACACGGCCAGAGCTCCGTGCTGTCAAGCTCTTTGTGACACCTCTCGAGGTCCCTGCAGCCCTTCCTCCTGCCTGGGCTGCCCCGAGGGACCCGCCGACACCCACCGGGGGGTGGGGGGCTGGTGCAGCTCCCAGGACGCCTGGCTCCCGTGCGCCAAACGCCGCTCTCACCACGGGCACCAGGAGACCCTCCTCCAATGCCCTCCTCCCGCAGAGGCGCAGTGGCTGTGGCCGGCCTGCCAGGCAGGAACTGCTCCGTGAAACCCTCAGAAAGGTCTGGTCGCTAGTGTGACCACAGGGTGGGGGGGTGGGGGGGAGAAGCGGGCGTCCCGGAGACGCCCTTGTGGCTGGAAGGACGGGCCCGGGTTCAAGACCTCCACAACAAGGTCTCCTCACTCACATTCTGGCCTGGGCACCTCCCAACAAGCGCTTTAGAGACTGAACTTCACAACAGATCAGTGACCTTGCCGGAAGCCTAGAGAACGGATCAGCTTTAGTCTAAGTTGACTTTAGCAGTGTCTCCAAAAAAATCAACCAAGAAAAGCTGAGTTGTGGTCGCAGAGGGCGTGGGGACGTGGTAGGAGGCATGAGGGCCACGTGTGTCTGGAGTCAAAAGCGGAAAGACGTTCTCTCTTCTTTTGAAAATGTGACTTTCATGTACACACATGAACACACAAACCACCTTTTTAAATTCAAACATGCAGCCATCGACGGTGTCCAGACGTGCAAGCACGGCATTTACACACATCGGTGGCGGGTGTGGGCTGCTACCACATCACCACCCACGTCCACGTCTCTCCGGCTGCTGCAGGAGTGGACTAAGGTCCTCATACTGCGGGTGGCCAGCTCCACGTGGCATGTGACGCCCTGGAGTGGACTCCCGTGGCTGATCAGGATAGCCACGTGGAGAGCACCTGACCCGCCGAAGGAGCCACATGGTGCCCACCAGGTGGGGAGCGCCCAGGAGACGTCCCATGGTCATGCCTTGGCGCCAAGGTGAGGACTGGTCGGGAAGGATGGGGAAGAAAGCACGTGGACGTCTCTTTTGTGCAGCAGCTGGCCCAAGTCCCAGCACAGCGCCTGGCGACCCTCCCCCACATGCCCAAGTTCATGTGTCTAAAACTCAAAAAGTTAAAATCATTTCACAATTAGCCTCCTCCAAAGAAAGGTGTCCAGCAATGCAAATCCTTCTCCTTATCATTACGCTTGGTCCTATTTTCTCTGTAATTCACGACATTTTCCAATCACGTGTGTGATTACACAGCCTTTGCAGCCAGTTTTGATGAAGGCACTTAGCCTCCTGCGCAAAATCAAGACCCCATTGTGGACTCTGAGCGCTGCTGTGGTTCCCAGCACCGCTGTGGGTCCCGCGCCCGTGCCCTCCCGGAAACTCTGGGCAGGAGACGTGGGGGAGAAAACAGGCCAGCAGGACAGCCACCTACAGGCGGTGGGGGCAGCATGCCAGGGAGGTCGGGGGGGCGCAGCTCGGCGGGACTGGGCTGCAGAACCACAGCCGCTGGCAGCTTCCGGGAGGGACCAGCCACGCGCACTGTTGCCCCCTTGCTTCACTCTCGTGAGCGCTCAGCAGCCTCTCCTGGGACAGGTTGGGGGTGCACACAGCCCACATCTGCCCCACCACACACCCAAGCTCTTCACCCAAACGTCAGAGAGCAGAGTCTGCAGAGACTGCTGGCCCTGCACCAGCAACAACCCTGGGCCCCGCTCTGCACGTGAAGGTCTACGCCCACCAACCTACACCTGCCAACCCAGCGGTGTACACACACACACACACACACACACACACACACACACACACACCCCACCCCCGCTGGGAGCCCAGGAGGCCATGGCAGCACCTGCTTCTGCATCTCTGCAGCCTGAAGGATTCCACGAGGCGTGGGGAGGCCTCCGGTGCAAATGCCAGTCCCATGGCCACTGCGGCTGTTCTGCATCAGGACACTCACCTCCCAAGGTGATGACTCCCACCTGAGAAGCCCTCATCTACGCAAGGCAGAAAGGGTCCTTCCCAAATGGACCGAGCAGCAGCTGCTCAAAGCCAGGAAGCAGACGTGTGTCCAGTCCGGGCAAAGGGCCGCCACAGCGAGCAGGCTGCGGCCCCACACCCGCTGACACGGCCGCATAAGGACAGGCCTCACCCTAGAGCTCAGCGATCTGCTCCGGCCGCGCAGCATGGAGGCCCCAGGCGGCCACGCTCCACCTCCAGCCACCAATCCCCCTGGCACCCCACGCAGGCAACACTCTGACAGTCTGTTTATAAAGGAAATACCTGGTGCTTTCTCCACGAAAATGACCTTGGAATCTTGCAGAAAGTTATGGCCGGACAGGACCATCTTCTTCCCGCCGAGGACGGGGCAGCTGGCCGCGCTCTGCTTCTCCACGAGGGGCAGCTCCTGGGCCGACCGCTGGGCTGCGCGGGGTCAGAAAGCGAGAGTGAGCTGACGCCCCCAGCCCCACCGTGCGCCACAGCCCCGAGACGGCGCCCCGGGGTCGGCCATGCCGCCAGGGACCGCCACCTCCCGTGGGCTCCTCAGGGTCTGGGGTGAGGGCGTCGCGCACTTGGAGCACAGGGCGACCGCCCTGGACACCCGACCGCCGTCACGGCAGCCGCTCCAGGACAGGCTCGCGCGATGGCGCAAGCACGGAAGACGGCACGTCAGCTTCTGCACGTGGGAAGACTGACTTCCGGTGGCATGTGCGCGCATGTGCGGTCTGCGCACGTGCGGTCTGCGCATGCGCGCCCGTGCGTCCGTGTAGTCTGCGCGCGCATGTGCGGTCTGTGTGAGTCTCCGTGGGGCGAAGGTGCCCGCCCGCCAGGCTGGACCGGACACGCCACTCCAGGTGAGGAACCCCCTCGGGACACCCTGTCATGGTGGGAAGGGGGGGCTCTGGAAGCTGGGAGCCACCGTGAGACCCCACCCCGGGCGCCGTGGGGGTGCGGGCCCGGCGTGAACTGAGGGCGGGGTCTGGCGGCGGGGGCCCTGTCCCAGCCAGGGGCGGCGGGACGAGCGAGGCTGGGGCCCGAGGCAGGGCTGGGGGAGGCGGCCTGAGGCCGGGCCCGAGGCACAGAGCGAGGACCTCAGGCCATCAGGAGAGCACGGGACACAGTGGGCGCTGAGCCGCGTCCGGGCGGAAGTGGCGGCTGCCTCCCTGGCGGTTCTCACCCACTCAGGGCGCCCGGAGGCGGGATGCCACGCTTGAGACAGGTGCCGCCGCCTGCGAGCGACCCACGGGCGCGCCGAGGTATGGGGACAGGCGTCCATGGGGCTCCACGCGAGGGCCACGGGACAGCCATCACAGGGAAGGGGTCCCGGGGTCCAGGTGAAGGAACCAAACCCAGACACCCCCACTGGAGGGAGGGCAGGTCAGGGTTAGGGTTAAGCCACAGACACAGGTGAGCGTCCTGCGACAGCCCCCCTGGGTGAGAAGAGGGCCCTGGGAAGGTGACGTTCTGACAGTGGCCGGTGGGTGTGGCCAGAGGACACTGACCCCTCCCTGCGCGCAGAAGCAGAGGACTCTGCCCAAGGCTGGACAGGAGAAGGGATGGCCAGGGGCTGCCGTGCAAGACAGGTGGGCAGACGGGGCTGAGAAACTTAGGTTTGCTCAACCCAACAGAACAGAAGCCCAAACCCCGCAGCTCAGGTGTCTGAAACACGGGGCGTTTGCTCGAATGTGGCGAGAGCACTCGTCTCAGAGTTTCTGGACAAACCCCCCTCCGTGTTCCCCGCGAGTGCGAGGACCAGGCTGGGCAGAGCTCCTGAACCTGTACCCAGCGAGGCCAGGTCCTCTGGCCGACCCTCCAGAGGGAGGGTCAGAGTGGCTGCACATCGGTACGGACACAGTTGGTGGGAAAAGTCTATGCGAGGTGTAACAGACAGGAGGGCGTGTGGCACAGGGCCGACTCCGATACTCACAGCACTCGATGGGGTTCGAGGCCACTTGCAGGGACAGTGTCCGGCCATTGGACTGCGGGATGTGGACCCGGAAGACCAGCCTCACCCTGGTGTTCTTCCTCCCGATGTCCGTCTCCCCTTTGCGCAGCTCGATGTCTGAGTTTCTGAGCTTCAGGATCCCGGCACAGTCCACGCTGCCCGAAACAAGAGTCACACCGTCCTTCAGTCCCTGGGGCGAGGCCCCGGACATCCTGCCCCGCCCCCGAGAGACCCTAGGAGCCATGTGTGGGCAGAGGACAGGAGGCTGTGAACGCAGGCCCTACTGGCACAGATGGTCAGGCCCCAGCTTGCAGGTCAATCCCGCAGAAGTAGCGAGCAGGCCTGACTGCCCGTCGGCACCTGTATCGTGGTGGCGGCGGCCACATTCAGGAATGAGTGGGCGTCAGGTTCAGGAGCAGGATCAGGCACGAGCGCACTGACGGCTAGGGACTGAAGTGCAAGGCCCATGGAGCCCAGCACCCGGAGTAGATCCACTACCACAGACATCTGGGCTTTACCCTCGTGTTAAGCCGAGGGCAGAGATGCAGAGGAGGGAGGGGCACGCGGCCCACGCTGCCGGGCCGGCCCAAGCACCCCGGCCCTGCGGGCCACTCCGCCGCCCCGAGCACCCGGCCCCGCGGGCGCAGCTTACATAGCTCGCATGTTGTTCTCTGGCAGCAGTGGGATCTCCAGGACTTTGGTGTTGGAGAGGACGGCTTCGTGACTGGTGGTGGACACGGTCTTGCCTGTGATCCGATGCACCTGGTAGAAGGCGTGGGGTCTCAGCAGGCGGTCGTCCGCCGTCCCGATGAACAGCTGTAGTGTGAGCGGCTCATTCTCCAAGTAGCCGTGTAACTGGTGAGAGAACAAGGTCCTCCGTCAAGCACCCTGCACACACACTTCTCAGAACCAGTTAGATTTTTATAAGCAGAGGCTGATTCAAATGGAAACTGTGCAACAGATACTGGATGCTAAGTTGCTCCCATCCACTCCTCTCTGTGACAGATGATAGGAACGCTGGGTGCTTGGTGCTAAGTTGCTCCCGCACTCAAGCCCCCTCCTCCCTTGCAGCTTGTGAGCAGCATCTACTCTGCCCAGCATCTGCTGTGAGGACCACGTGTGGCTGGTGCCACTGGAAACCCTTTCCCATGATGCATTCAGGCCCGGCAGCCCGCAGGGCGAGGTCCCGCTTCTCACCCACAACCCATCCTGACAGCACGTTAGACTCTGCTGACGCCGAGTGACCGGCGCACAGGAACGCCACCAGTGCTTACAAATCCACAAGGAGGCCAGTGCTGCCAGCCCCTCACGCTTCTCAGACGGGTTCTCCGAGAAACTCCGGAAAGGACGGCCCATGGCAGACACGCGTCCTCACCGTCCCACCCACGGGGCACAGCGTGCGAGAGCACCTGCTGTAAGGCAGCCTGGAGAGAGGGCAGGCAGGGGGCGTGAGGGCACCTGCGGCAGCACCCAGTCTCCACCTCTGCCCCGTAACTTGGCCACGGGAAAGTCACCTCACCCACCTCAAAGACCTGCCCAGCAGCACAGGAATGATAATGGGGCAGAAGAGGCGGCCCCCATGCCCTCAGGGACCAGGCGTAGGCAGCGAACACCGACCTAAACAGATGGAGGGTGTCCCTGGGAGAGCGCCAGATGGCGGAGGATGGGGCGTCCAGCAGGGGGACAGGGCATCCTGGGGGCAGAGTGTCCAGCAGGGAAGGAGGCCTCAGACCCGGCCCCCAGGCTCCGTGCTGGCCCCAGTCTACTGTGTGTGTGTCTTTCGCGTTGGTTTCATCATGGCGTCTCGACAACAATGGACGACAGGAACAGGGGCCGCGGCCCGGACGCGGGTCCGACGGGGGCAGCGGGGCTGGTCTTCGCATGCTCTCCAGGCGCAGCCACAGCCTCCGGGGCGGCGCAGGCAGCTACTGTTTTAATTTTCATGGGCTCTTTGGTGGACCAGGCGCTGGCCAGCAAGACACTGCTGGTCATAAAAGGCCCCCGGGCTGAGTGCTCACCCCCGTCTGCACCCCTCACGGGCTCCCAGCCCCGGAAGGAAACCGCTCTGTCCGGGTCAAGAGCACACGAGTGGTGCTCGCTCGTCAGCAGCCACAAGAAGGTAAAAGGCTACTTCCCCGGCTTCGGGCAGGAGTCTGAGCAGAGGTTTCATTTGCTGGAGGCTGCGGGTCCCCTTGCACAGCGTGGGTCACCCTCCACGCAGGGTGACAGCCTGTGCACCCCCGGACCCCCCTCACCTGGGGGACACGCAGTCGGCCGGACACCGGGCCATCCTGTGGTTTGTCAGGAGCACGCTGCTGCCTCCCCGTCACGCAGCTCTAGCCAGGGCGCTGTGAGATTTGTTCTAAATACTGGACCTCAACCCGACTTAGAATCTTCAACACAAACACCCAGAATGTCAAATTTAAGGTTAAAAATGGGATCTAACCATATGAAGCTATTAACCCAAAGGAGCAAACAGTAGTTCAGATCAGCAGCGAGCCATTGATCAAAACCATGCTGATGTAAACTCATGCACTCATTCTCACTTCTTCGTTAAGAGATAAGTCACTTGTAAGTTCTGGGTTCTCAGAAGAGGGGCCTCTGATGAGGACTGTCCTCAGGAGGCCCACGCGCACACTGCCAGCGCCCTGGGGGCCAGTAGGAAGACCACAGCGTGCCAGAGGCCACTGGATGAGGCCAAGGGCCAGGGCTCCCCATGCACACGATGTCACAAGTACCGTATGAGAAACTGACCACCACCTGTGCGATGTGCAGGACACACATTTGCACACTCGCACACTCACCTCTCACCTGCACTCATGCACACATTTGCCTGAGGGCTCCCTAACATACTCTGTAGCTCTGTGCTTGGCTGGGAAGATTAGTTTGTAGCAGGGACACATGCGTCTTTTTCTGCTGGTGACAGTCCCAAGCATCTGTGGACGTGGTCATCATCAGAGCAGCTTTTTCACATGAAAATCATTGCTCTTTCATCCCTATCCACAGGTGCCTGATGCACACAGACTAAACACGCGTCTGACAGGCGTGTGCACAGACAGGGAGCGCAGCTGAGCTGTGCGGCTGACGGGAGCCCAGGTCTCCATGGAGGGGCCAGAGATGCGGCCGCCGGGTGGGCACGTGGGCAGGTCCCAGGGGCACCTTCTCCGTCCTGCCCGTCCACGCATTGTCCTGAGTCCCCACGCACATGAGGACCTTGCTGAGGCCGTGCTCGGAGGACCTGCACACAATCGTTTCAGGGCGGTTCCTGCGGACACGACGTAATCCTGCAGAAATGCCTCTCCTTTCTGAGCTGGAAAGCTCTTTCCCATGTGAATGCATGAGGGTCCCCAGAGGGTGCTGTTGGCTCGGGATGGGACCTGAGGCCAGCTTGTCTGCCCACAGGAGTCCTCATCTCCTCACGGGAGGGTGCCTTCAGGCCTTGCCTGATTTAATGAGCTTTCATGAGAAACCTCTACTCCCGGCTAGACTCAAATCTACGTTTTTTATAACAGGAAACGTAAAAGTAAAATCAGAGGCTGATTAAGGGGCAAATTTTGCCACTCAGTGTTCCGTTGTGTGACATTTAATGCAACAGGAAGTAAATGAGTCTTTGGCCAAAATGGTCTCTTGTGTGGCTGAGGCGTGTCGGTGGCGTGTGGATGGAGGGCCCGGCGGCATTTGGGTGTTTTGGAAATGACAGGCTAGAGCCCCCCCGGGACCCACTTCTCTGATAGCACGCAGGGCGCAGCGGATTGTGGGTATAACTTCATCCTCTTAAAAACATGCCATTTCAGTGAAAACGGGAATATTTAAGGTTAAACTTGGGAGATAAACATCTATTATTTAAAATACGAAGTTCATTTTAAGAAAGTAATTTAAATGCTGCACGTGCCCGGCTGCAGGGGTTTTCTGCCTCTGGCACATTTTAGTATCTGTCAAAACAATATTTATAAAATCACCTGTCATAACAATGGCCTCTCTTTGCTTCAACTAAACTAAACAAAATGCATTATTCCATTTTCCAGGTACGAGAGTCACTAAGTTTCCGACACATGAAGTGTTTGTTTTTAGCTTCTGTGCTACCTCAGCACTTACGGGGCAGTGACAGGCGGTGACAAGTGGGGCAAGTCCTCTGGCAGGGCCACTTGCGCTCGCGAAGGCGGAGCCGAGGAGCCGGCTCGCGCAGAACCATCCGTCCAAAGGGAGATAATGTTCAGCCAGGTGTTAGATTCGCACCTTCACACGATGTGGAGAGAGACTCAGCCCCAAACAGGATTCACTTTTTACCTCCACGCTTCCAGCCACCACGCTAACCTGTGAGCCCGCGTGGCGTGAGCACAGCTGTTACACTAGATCCAGAATCCACACAGCCCTTGCCCACGCCACCCCCAGAGAGGGTCTCCTACATCCACACAAATTCCTCAGATAACAAGAAGGAAGATCCCGCATGTCTGCTCACCGGCACCGGCACTGGACACAGGAGGGGACGGCGCTACACTGACCGTGGCAGGGCCTAGGGATCAGCTGTCCCTCCCAGTCACATCTGTGACACCAGGGTGCGCAAGTGGACATGGTGGTCACAGACACCGCCCCCCCCCCCCGGAGACCGTGTGAAGGGGAGCAGAACAGAAAACCACGAATGAGAACAGAACACGGCATAGCACGTGGGGCCACAGTCGGCAGAGCCCTAAGTGCACACACGTGACAGGTCCACACGGCCACGCCTCTCTAGGCTGTGCCCCCAGGCACCTGCTAAAAAGAGCTGGCAGAACCGTCACTGGGGGTCTGAGCACTGTCTGTGCTGAAAAGCAAGTGTGCGAGGCCGCAGCTTCCTGCTTTGCCACGATGTCTAGGATCAAGCTGCCTCATGAAGACAGCATGGACCTTGAGAGGCTGGCCGACTTGTCATGTCTCCTGTAGAAGAGCTCAGGGACACAAGGAAAGCAGTTAACACGGCTGTTTTCTGATGTTGATGCTGATGTCGGCACCACACTGTCTTCTCAGGAAAAGCAACGGAGACTCAGTTAACATGAGGACCGTGGGCTCTGCGGGGTCCAAGGGCCTCTGCCCACTGTGGCCCTGAGTGGGGGGCACACGGCACCTCGTCCCCGCGAGGCCCAGCTTCTCAGAGGGCAGGAGTGTCCGGGAATTCGTGGACTCCGAGTGTCTGTCACCTGTGACAGGTATCCGCACACCCTGGGGTCTGTCTTGTCTGCAGGGAGCCAGCAAAGCCCTTGCCGATGTGGCCAGCCAGGCAGGGCCAGGAGTGGGCTGAGCCGTGTGTCCCAGACGCGGGCCCTCCCTTCTCTCAGAAGACTGGAAGGTGCCGGCCCCTTGGCTGGCCGCAGCTAGGTCCAGAAGGGCCTAGAGTCACAGACAAAGGTGGGTCCTGGCACTCGTCTTAGGGAGGCAGAGGATGGAAAATTGCGGCTCTCGCTGGAAAATCAATTATGTGCGAGTTGAACCGTTGTCACAGAAGCAGCTGTGGCATCAGAGGGGGACAGGACGGAGCAGAGGGGCGACCTCAGGGCAGGCACAGAGCCTCAGACAGACCGCAGCTGTCTCTGACCCCCATGGCCCCCAGGGGGCTTTGATCTCAGTCTGTCTCTGTCCCCTCTCTTCCCCGCCATAACCAGGGTATCTGTGCCGGAGGTGCCTGGCTGAGGGACCCGGTTTGGGGTCTGGAGTCTGGGGTGTGGTCAGCAGACTCCGCGGGAGAAGATGGGGGACCAGTGAATGGTGTCATGTGAGGCTGTGCACACGTCCTCATGGCCACACCCCGAAGAACAGGCAGTGGGAGCAAAGAGCGTCCGCAGTGGGGACCTCAGCTCAGAGGCCCACAGACAGAGCCATAA